TTTACTGGAAGTGCTTCTCACTCAGAGCACATGTTGCTGCATGTGCAGTCAGCCAGTGAGCCCCAAGAAGACTGTAGAGTTAAAGTGTAAATGCAGGGGCAGAGAAAGTGTTTTTGTGGAGGTGGTGGGGGGGGGGGGGGGGGGGGGGGGGGTGTTTGTGTGCATGTGCATGCATGTGATTTTGTTTGGAGAGCTTAGCAAATAACCAGCAAAACCACACTAGAATCCTGTGTGTATGTGTGGTTCAGTGTGAGTTATATGAGTTTGCAAAGTCCAGATTTAAGCTCCCTTTCTGGGAACCAGCATTCCCTGCTCTTCTAAAGCGAGCTGTAAGAGACTGGAGGGGCTTTGGGAATGAAGAGGCATGGGCTGGTTTCAGTATGTCCCAGGTTTGTCTATTGTACACAGCGAGTGGTAACAATGGGAGGGTTAAGTATCTGATATACACACCGAACCCTGGGACTCAGCTGCAAGTAATTAAAGCTGGCAGTTGGCAGAGAAGAGAGTCAGGCGACTGTAATGGCCGCTCTAAGTTCATACCATAATATTTGGATGATGAATCAGGCTGCTAGTAAAAGTGTTGTCATGCTGTTGACCCAAGGCTTTCTCCCCTCCCCATGTCCTGTCGGCCCCGAGGGAGGCACAGAGAGGAGAGAAAAAGGCTTTGTACGACCCTGCAGCCTGTTTGCAATGAGATGTGATGTTTATTCGGTACGCCACGGCTTTCGTTTTTACCTCCAAAGTCTCGTTATTTTGTGCTTTTTTTTCCGTTTGGTTCTCCTCAATGTGTACTGAGAGCCCAGAGTTACCATTTTAGTTTCAATAAAGTGGACACTCTTGTGAGAGGACATTCATAAATCAATAAAGAGAAGATGTATTTTGGATTTTAGCTTTCCACCTCCACCTTGTCAAAGGTTTCTTAGGATTAACAAAAACTTTTTGATTAATCAGTTGATACTTTGGTTTTTAAAGGTGAGAAAATATCAGTACTTGATACCTTTAAGGTTTTGACCAAAATAACCCACTACCAAATGATATCGAAACTTCTCCATTCAAACAATAACTGTACCTGATCCTCTTGCACCCAGATCTAGAAAATAAAAACTGTGTGTATGGTTTTGCTCACAGCCAATCACAGCAAGCATTCTTCAGTTAGTGCAATGTGTGATTGGCCACTACAGCAGCAGTTACAGCCTATACAGTCTGTGGTGTGGTGACATCAAGCACCATGTATTTGTCGATGCTTGCAATAAGCATGCCGAGATGCCACAAAAACGCCCGTTGCATTTTACGCAACCAAGTGCTTTCATTCACATGATGGATATTGAAATAAATTAAAAAAAAAAAAAAAACAGGTAACAAATTAAGTACTCTGTTGATATCGGTATCACTTTTAAGGGTTTTTATACGACAACCAGCCCAAATCACCAGTCCTAAAATATGTCACCAGATGTCTTGTTTTGTCCGACCATCAGGCCAAAACCCAAATGTACTGTATGTAGAATTATTAGCTCCTGAAATCATGTCACTTGAGTCAGTTGGGTATGAAATATGCAAGTTTGATTATCAAACAAACCTGGGGATGTGGACTTAGAAGCAAGTGAAGTTACCCAGACATTTATTTATTTGTGGTGGCTCGCCACGATTTAAAAATCTGCCGCCATGTTTTAATTTTCTATTTTTTGGAGCTGGACTGTTTATTAGGTGCACTGTTGGAATGTATATACTGTTTGGCTATTCATTGCTCCACACTCTCGCACCACAGAGCGTGGTCACAGACAGAGCAGTAGAACAGCAGGTGCAGCAAAAGTGAAACTTAACCTTTCATTGTGCTGGGTATAAAAGTTTGCTTTCACTCACAAACAGCTGTTTCTCTTATTCATTGATCTGATCAGCTCTAATTGGATCCACTGATCAATTATCCGCCTTGCGACTCAAAACTCCACAAACTCCGCAAACTGCTGTTCGTACAGCAAACGGTTGTTGTTGTATAAACTAGTAATGATGAAATTAAAATCATCATCATAAACAAGGCCACTTATTTACTCCCACACACTGTCAGCTTCACAGTCTATCAACAAACTAATCCCATTACTATTATTATTATTATTATTATTATTATTATTCAAACTGTTGTCAACATCTTGGTGTGTGGCATGATGATTCTTGCATATGCATAGCCGGTGGCAGAGTTTGGCATTTGACAGGTGTTTGGCATCGTAACTGATGCTGGAATAACTCTGCATTGTTACTATAGACATAGCACTGTCTGTATTGTGGTAATGCCTTGTCATTTATCAGGTTTGTTGCCAACCAGGTCTCAGGTATGCTCTTACAAATCGTGTAAGAGTTGTGATGTGAAATTGCTGTACGGTAATGGTTGGAAACACTGCGATTACAACATCAACATGAAATCAGATTAAACAGAGAAATGGTATTTCTGAGAAAGGCATGAATCATGTGCAGCAGGGAATCATGTCATTTTCATGTTTCATGTCTACAACAAGTGGATCATTAAGCTGACACATGGGAATCCTGATTACCACTCATCAAAACCAGCTGTCAAGTTCCTGGAAGTATGTCACCTTGTCATCGTTTTTATTTGTTCCTCCTTCCTCTGTCAACAGAATCAGCGTATGACCTTCTTCCCAGAGAGCTACAATTGCCTCACTCCTCGCAGCAGAGCCCAAAAATCATGAGTCAAAAGAGTGGCGGAGAGGCAGGGCCTCCCCCTTCAGCTACTCTAGCATCAGGTAGGATCCTTCTCCTCTAATCTCTAATTCTCCTCTGCGAGCTGGACTGTCATGCCCCAATCCAAAAAACACAACACAGTCTGGAAACCAGCCTGCTGCTCTGTGATACTTATGTCAGTCCAAAAAAAAAATAAAAAAACAAAACAACTTCTTATAAAGTTAACTCAGCTGAACCTCTATCTGTAACTGCTTGTGAAATATTTGGTCAAGGGGATTGTTGCTGTGAATACAAGTGATCTCCTCTATGTTGTGTGCAGCATCAAAGTGTTGAAATGTGGGTCATGCATCACAGGTTTAGATAGTGTGTAGACCCATCTGCCCTTTTCCTTTGTGATTCAGACAGATGAATGGTTTAAACCATACATGGATCACACTAATAATTAGGGATGGAGATTGACAATATTTTAATGACATCAATGCCATTATCCTTTCTGCTTATTGGTCCGATTCTTTTTTGATTCCATGACTGATTCCTGGTCAGTTTTCTGTATGGTTTTTCAGCATCAATCAAACTATATTATTATTATTATTCATTATCTAAAATAGATTAAATGAGAATATTATATGCGATATTTGATAAGGGATATTCTCCTCCGGTGGGAAGAAGTGGCACTCGAGCGTACAGAGTCAAACACTTGGCACTCCTGGTATTTAAATCGATGTTGCCTAAAAAGATGTTTCAGCATATTGCTGGTGTTTCTGCCCTTACATGATATGATTGTTGTAGAGCTTCACTGTTTACATCATTGTTTGTGAAACAAAACCACGCTTTGGAGAGGTTCTTCTTCTCCACTGTGACACCTTCTTGTTGAAAGATTCCTGCAGTGTAGACGCATCAGTTTGACGTCATTGTTTCGCAATGGGGTTCTCGATTCCCATCCCTATGTATGATTTCATATTATTTCAGTGGGTTACTACTCAGCACAAAAAAACTTGGATAATATTTGGTTGTTTTGACAGTTTTTTTCCCTTGTTTTGAGAATTGGGAAGCTTTGAGTGGCTGTAATCACCTTGTTGACTGTTTTTACTTCTAAGGTGGAGCTATTGTTCACAGAAGAAAATCCAGAAGTCCAGAAATGAGACACATTATGTACAATTATATTTGTGGCCAGTTTTTGTCGTTGATAAGCTTGTTTAGATGGACCACAGAGGTTTTGTTGCATGTGTCATGACCGGACGGTATTTCATCTAAACAGATCTTCTACCAGTCATTGGAAAAAGTTACACATTTCACTAAAATGCGCAGTTTAATTTAATCAGTTGTTTTGCTGACATTAAACAATTCACAAGAACAAAACAAGATGAGTGTACAGTGCACACACAACAGAGGGCATACAGGTTTGCACCATATTTAAAGAATCATCTCTGGTTAAGAGAAATCTGAGCTCATGCCTCTGTCAGGAAAATGTCAAGAGACACTGAAGCTGCTGCGTCACATTTCTTTGCTTTTCCATTGACCCTTCACATTTTCATTGTGCATTGTCTTGATACATAGTGGTGTCCAAATACAAAACTATCTGCCGAGAAGTGAGGGCTTGGCCGCTTTCCCAATTGGCAAATAATAAAAGAAAAAAGCATGAACTGTTAAGGGCAGTGGAACGACAGTAAAGTGGATGTGATCTGCCATTAAAAAGCATAAGAAGAGGTAGAGAAATGAAGAAGCTCCACACCTGTGGGCGTACAGACATGCATACTGGAGCTGCAGTGGCAAATCGACTAAGCGATTAGTCGATCGACAAGAAAACGATCGCCAGCTATCTTGAGAACTAGACTGAAAAAACAAGACATTTCAAGACATAATCTTGGACTTTGAGAATTGGGATGGATATTTTTCACTACTTTCTGACATTTTACAGACCAAACGATTAATCAGTTGAGAAAATAATTGTCAGATTCATCGATAATGAAAATAATCCTTAGTTGCAGTCCTAATGCATACATGTTTTCCTTTCTCTTGCTGGGATCTGATGATGCAAAACACAAAAGCATTGATTTTAGGCCAAACTAATTAACAGTGAACAGATAATGTTATAAAACATGGCATTTATGTGGATTTTTATCCCAAACACTCTAAATCAAATTAAATAAATTAGATTTAGAGTGTGCCTCACTGTAGCTGTTTTGCTCTGCTCCTCATTGAAGCACCAAGACATTACAGTGAGTTATAGTAAATACATGGACGTCAGTGCTCCATTACAGCCACTTGCAGCGCTCTGACCTGCTGCAAAATGTGTCAATAAGTGGAGGAAGCTGAGGTTTATTTTACTTAACATGAAACTATGAGTTCAATTGAAATGTCAATAAGGTCATTATTTCTTTTTTTTCTAAGATGTTTTTTTATAACCAGACTTGACCTCATTTTTTTGAGTGACCTCATGTTTAATTGCAGTGTTTAGCAGTGTTCTTATTCACTGTTTTTGCTGTTTTAAAACATAGTGCAGAGGGTATAATAGAGAGTAAACACTCATAACCCACCTTTCAACATCTGTATTGGACATTCACCAGTATTTGATCATATATTTGGGTTGCTGTTGTATGTTTTTGGTTTGTTATCATATATGTCTTTGTGTTTTTGATATTTGCTCAAAATTGACAATACCTCCGTATATTTTATGTGCCTTTTTTCTTTCCGACTGTCTGTTTCACAAACTAATGAGTCACCAAACAATCCAGAATGTCAACAGCAGTCTAACTCCTTTTTACCACCTGCAGCTTAACCAGTCCTTATCCCCACTCTTCATCTAGTTCATTGTAACTATTTGAATGCTTTTGAAATTACAGAGGATGTCAGCATGCTGGAGCAACATTTTTTTGACAAACAAATTACCCTGTGTTAATAATAAAAAAAAAAAAAAAATTTTACTGTTCAGCTCTTATTGCTCATTCGCTGTCTCATTTTTATATTCCAGGAAGTTCCCTCTGAAGCAGGGAGTGTCTGCATATAAAATGGTCTGCAGTTCTCTGCTTCATAGGTCAGAAGCTTGTTTATTTTGTTTCTGTGGCTACGTTCAGTCCCAACGAAATGAACTTTTGTAGCAAAAAAAAATAAAAAATTTGAAAGTGAAAGCTCCAATAATTGGCATGCATCATATTGTACATAATACTGTTTTGAACTCCCCTCTCCATTTCATCATTTTGGCTAATTTTTAAGTTGAACATGAACAAAACGCTAAACGATAAATTCATCCAAGTTGCAAGTAAGTCTATTCACACGCATTTTTAGTCCTATCATATTTTTTCAAATAAGGGGGACTGCTCACTTTTCTTTAGCCCCTTTTTAGCCACACCTTTACTGCGCTTCACATACTGTACATTTACAAATCCCCAGATATCATCAGCACCACAGAAACACGCACTTAAGATCCCATGAAAAGGGGGAAATTTTGATTGGATGAATAAAAAAAGTGCTAAACCAAAGCAAAACCAAAAAAAACTATTATGAACAATTTTGCTTCCATAATGGGACTGCTAGCCAACATTGGTTTAGAAGCCTTTATTTACTGTCTAATTATTTGCACTGTAGATGCCATGTCCTCCTCTATGACCATGGAAGGCCCCCGCAGTGCTTTTTCCACCTCTTCCAGCTCCACCATGCATTCCAGTGCTTCAGCCAATGACCAGAACGCAGTTCACAGCGCCAATGTCGACCCAGAGGACACCAGGGGCAGCAGAACGGTTCCAGAGGTTGTCGGAGCAGAAGGTGGGAATGGTAACAGCAGGGGCAGCAGTGAGCTGGGAGGAGGAAGAGAGATGACCCCATCGAAGCGCCGCACCGTACTGAACATCTCTCCACCTCCACAAGACCTGTTTGATGACAGCCTGATGTCCTGCCAGGATGAAACATCCCGGGACTCAGAGCAGAGTAACAGCATCTGGATGGAGGACTCTCTCTCCAACTTCAGTATCATGAGCACTGTCTCTTACAATGACAACACAGAGGTGCCACGAAAGTCACGCAAACGTACCCCTCGGCAGAGGCCTGGACCGAAGTCTGTGCGTGCAGGGGAAGCCAGCATGGACGTGTTCGATGCAGACAGTGCCAAAGGTCCACACTTTGTACTGTCACAGCTCGGCCCTGACAGCAAGACTGGATCAAAAGGAAGGTTTGTGTAACACACAGATCCAGTGACACAACACTCAAAATAATCTCACAAAGTTACCATTGATATAGAATAAGCAAATTATGGATGCTGTTTCCAGATGAATTAAGCAACAACACCATGCCTCTTCAGCCAAGGTGCAGAATGAACAGAGGAGTTCAAGAAAGGCATGCTGGGAAAGCTAAGATAATAAAATACCTTACTGTAAATACAAAATCAATTCAAAACCTTTAACTACAGGTGTGATTCAACTATACATTTTAAATTTAGTCACTTTGTTTTTGCTTAAAATAAGTGTGTATTTTGTTGAAGGTAAATCTTGGGTATGACTATAACTTAACAAGCTGAAATGTGCTGCATCTAAAAACTGTGCTCATTGAAAAACCGCTGCTGGAAGAAAGGACTGTCTGAGTTGCTCTGTATAATACAGACGCATCCTTAGTCTGGCTTTTAAGTCTGTTAAAAACACCTTGTAATGGATGACCTTCATTATACTGAACCGTTTTTAATTTGGCCTTAGTGCTCTTTGCTGTAATGATCTCACATGAGACTGGGTTAAGCCAATCACTGATCCAGCCTCTCTGATGATCTTATTAACCCTGTTTGTATCATCTGCAGTGATGCTGCCCCCCAGCAAGATAAGATAAGATAAAATAAGATAACATAAGATAATTGTTTATGAGTCCCACAGCAGGTGAATTTGCATCGTTGCAGCAGCAAAGGGGGTCATGCAAAACAAGAAGCATCAGTAAAAAACACACTGATATTGCACGAGTGATGATTGATAATTGTCAGTTTTGGTATGTGTGGACTACTAGGTTTATGTTTGGTTGTAAAATTCTTCCAAAAAAACAACAATCGAATAGTCGATTGACAGAAAATGAATCGCTAACTATTTTCATCATAGATTAATCCAAGAAAATAATCAGCAGATTAGTCAATACTCATTAATCATTAGTTTCAGTGCTAAGATATTTCCTCATTTGGTGTTTTGATGACGGTGGTAGAGAGTGTTGGCCAACACATTGCTCAGAAATCTCCCATTTGTGTTCACCTAGAATCAGATCTGGTGCAAAAGCTTTTCATATTGTACATATATTTTTTCATTCTCATTTAAGAGTTCTCCATTTGTCAGGCCTTGTGCCTTGTAGGGAAACATCTGCATTTGTTATTTTTCCCAACTCTTTTCCTCATGTTTTTCCTGTAATCTGTCACCCATCAGTGACCACAGAAAACACTGACTACATTTCATGTAGGAAGTTGTTAATTGAGTAGCTAATTCAGTTATTATTCACCTAATATTCTCCCAGTGGTAGTTGCACAGTTAAACTCTTAAGTGGATACTTTATTACGTGTTACTATTGCCTTAAAGCACCTTGTGGATAATCTTATACAGCACTCATCCTGACTGTCAGAATAATATTATCAGGAAATCACACACTGCACAACAGATGGAAATCTTCAACAAACTACTCTGGCTCTAAATTTCCCACCACGCTTTGAGTGAAGAAGAGCGGTTAGATCAGAGGGGAGGGAGGGGCAGGATACTGAACTACAAACAATGGTCAGCCACAGTGAATCACAGAGCCTCTGTCAAAGACCTAGGATAAGCAGAGCAGATTAAATAAACAGATAACTCTGTCTGACTCTGCTTTAAGAGCTGGGCATAGAATATGCTCGGTTGATGAAGGGCCTGTTAACTCTGCATTGCTCAAAGCATCATGGGGGGGCAGAGAGTGGGGGTGTCTGAACAAATAGGGACAAGGTCATAATCCGTTAAAGCAAGTTCCAGACATTCTTTGCTTCTATCCACCACAATATCAGAAGATGCCAGCTAGGTTCAACATATCCTCATACAACAGTTTGTATGATATCTTATGAAAATGCACATCCAATTCCAAATATAATATCCAACGAATAAGCACCCCATGAATAGTGTTGTCATGTTACGTACCTAACAAAGTTTCATACTTAATGCAAAGCTACGAAGGTTAGGTTAGGGGAAGAACAGCTATGTAGGTTAGGATTAGGAGAGTTAAGTTATGTAGGTTAGGTGCAGGAAAAAAAACATGGTGATGATGTATCTTAGAATAACTTGAAGTTGGAGCTAGGGTTTCACATGGGACATGAATACTAGTTCAATGGTGTTCATTATGTCTTTAGTTTATGACAATGACTTTAGTGTTCTTTTATCTCAGACATGTTAGGATATTACATACCTTGACATGTTTCGGCGGAAACTTAGCCTTCCTCAGAAGTGTCACTTGGTGGTGGTTGTGACGCGTCTTTATCAGCTGATCTGTCAGTCAGCCGATAGCCTCCCTAATATCGGCTGATGTAATATCCTAACATGTCTGAGATAAAAGAACACTAAAGTCATGGACACGGATACTGGTCTTGTGGGGGAAAGTCCTGTGTCTGTTTGACCCATCCACTACCCCAACCTGCCTTCTTAATGCAAAGAAGGCAAAGTTTCACTCGTTACTACTTCCTTCTTAATTCCTGTTGGTGCATTGGTCACGTGATGGCAGCCTTCCTGATTACATGTACTATGTACAAACTGTAGTGCATTACTTTCCATAGGCATACATACAAACTATGCATGAGAAGAGCCTGCTAGGTTGCACCAACTAAAATAAAAAGGCTGTAAAATGTCAGAATTTGCAGTAATGTGCTGGTGTCTCTGTCAAACCACTCTTTGTTGCAGTTCTGATGATGCTCAGACAACTCACCACAAAGGAGGAATGCTTTCGATGCAGTACCCACAGAAGAGTGAGGGGAAGGAGTTGAAGATCCTCGTCCAGCCGGAGACTCAGCACCGAGCACGCTATCTGACTGAAGGCAGCAGAGGGTCAGTGAAGGACCGCACACAACAGAGCTTCCCAACTGTGAAGGTGACTGCTGAACCCCTGACACAACCTCTATGATGAACTCTGTAGTTAATGTTTTGACTTTTCGGCCATGATGTCCTTTGTTAATAAAGTTAATGATTGGGTTATTGCCAGAGGCTTTGAAATATGTGTGTGCTTCTGTATAGAACATGTTTTGTAATGAATGTATTGTTTGTCTTTTTTTTTACTTATACAGCTGGAGGGAGTCAATGAGCCAGTGGTTTTGCAGGTGTTTGTGGGCAACGACACCGGGCGTGTTAAGCCTCATGGTTTTTATCAAGCTTGCAGGGTGACTGGCCGCAACACCACAGCCTGCAAAGAGGTGGACATCGATGGCACGACTGTCATCGAGGTGTCTCTCGATCCGAGCACCAGCATGACACTAGCGTATGTACTTTTCTTGAGATTGACATTGGGTTGTTGTAGTGAGAAATATCACGCCAATAAAAACTTTTACATGTTAAACCACAAACAGAGAAAGTGTTGCTTTTATGTGCCAAACCAAAGCAATTGCTTAATAAAGTGATTGCATGATGGGAACGTGTGAGTGTGAGATGTGAGGTAGATAAATAATTCATTGATTCCCTTAGGCCATCAGTTATTGTAATGACATGCTGAGGTATTTAGTGTTGTTAAGATTTGCAGTGTTTAGCAAACACTGTAGAGTTTGTTGTTTAAACTGCAAGTTTCCAGGCTGACATCGTCTCTCTGTGCAGGGTGGACTGTGTCGGGATCTTGAAGCTCCGTAATGCTGATGTCGAGGCTCGCATTGGTGTGGCCGGGTCGAAGAAGAAGAGCACACGCGCTAGGCTGGTGTTTCGGGTCAACATCCCACGTCCAGATGGATCAGTGCTCACACTACAGACCCCCTCTTCTCCAATCCTTTGTAGTAAGTGTCTGTGGAAATGCTGTTAGAAATACAGATATTCTGGTGTATCATTTCACTATTTCAAACCAGTTTCACTGGAATTAAAAGAAGCAAAACAGACAGCTGACCTGTAATTTACACAGCTAATAATTACCATCATAAACTGAGCTACTTTCTCCTCTTTAACAGGAGAGGTCCTGTTTCTGAATTTTAATCTAGCCCGAGGTCAAGAGACTGTTGTCTCTTTATGCTCACATTTGGAGACATAAAGATCCCTTCAGATTCAAGTGTTATTTGATAATGCATACAGTATAAGGGTGTGGTTGGTTTCATAAACAGGAAAGACGCTTAGGGCTAAAAGAAAGTTTCTGTGTAAGTGGGTTTGGGAGAACTGCTTTGAGAGAGACAGGGGAGAAAGAGAAGGAAAGGACTAAACAATAGAGGTGTGTGGACTTCAATTGTTTACACAGAGCCAGCATGCAATCCAGGGAAATATCTTTCCACAACCCCCCCCCCCCCCCCCCCCCCCCCCCCCCACCCCCCCCCCCCCCCCCCCCCCCCCCCCCAAAAAAAAAGTAATCCCCCTAGGCATGTGTGCGTGCGTGCATGTGTTTCTATGTGTGTGTGCATGTGCATGCGTGCATGTGTGTGTTTGTGTGTGTGGCAGAGCAGTGAAAAAGACTTGTGAAATGTGTTACATTGTGGTTTTGATGAGCTTAAGGGTGATCAAAGTTCTTATTGCCACTTTGGATGCCTCTAAGAAATAGCTGATATTTGAGTTGTATGAAAACATTACATCTTTGTTCAATGTACAGTATATGCAGGTTTTTAAAAGTCTTAAAGGAGCTATATGTAAGAAATCTAAAGCAAATAGTCATAAAATCATCCTAATATGTCACAGAGACTAAGGAATAATGTTCATATAACATACTGATCTCACCAACAACAATAGTACAGCCAGAATATTCGCATTTAAAAAAATTTTTACGGTCCGCAAATCATGTTTATGTTTTGAATTTGTGTTTTGGCCTGTTGTGCCACCCACCGCTGTCTACCAGTCACGCAATTAGTAGAGTCTCAGCATCAGTTACGGTTACGACTGAGCTACAGCAGCACGGCAAGCAGCATTAGCAGTGTCCCAGTACATAGCATTAACAGTCTCCTCAGCTGTATCCCAGCAGCAGCGTTAGCAGCAGAGAAGCCGGACTTGCTCGAACGGTCCGCTGGAAAACCGAAGATCAAGGACGCGGCGACGCGGCCCTGCCACAGCAGCCGCCCGTGGGCAAACAAATCACTCTCCAGCGTGCCGCTGTCCAGCAACCTCGAATCTGTAGGGGAGGAGGGGCGGACACGACTTGCAGCGGTATTTTGAATTTGAGTGCAGTAACCGTTTTGGCCACATTCTTACATACAGCGCCTTTAAAGGTCCATTGTGTAGGATTAAGTGGCATCTAGCGGTGAGGTTGCAGAACTGAAACTTCTCCCATGTGCCAAGCATGTAGGGGAACTATAGTGGGTGACGTGAAAGCTCAAATGGCCCTCAGTAGAGCCAATGTTTGATTTGTCTGTTCTAGGCTACTGTAGAACATGGCGGACCCCATGGTAGGGCTGGGCGATATAATGACTATGTACGATATATTTTTAAGTAAGATATAAATTTAGGCAACTCCGTTTATATTGATATAGGGTCAAGTTACATTACATAACCCGTACCAGTGTTCATCTCTCCTCTCTCACACTCTCTGCACAGCTCAGCGCCACTCACTCACTCACTCACTCACAGTTTCTCCAGCAACACTAAGAGACACAGAGCTGCTCCTCTGTTTAATCTTGCATGTGCTACACTTAATCAGTCTGTGAGATGAATGAAATTATGGCAGTAACATATGTACAAAACTGTGGGCCTTTTCCATTGTTACTTTTGGCTGCGCCGACTAAAGCATGCCGATTTGCGTGTCCATTATGAATTCAGACACACCGTGCCATGCTGAGCTGCGCCAGAGATGAAACTTCTCCAGAGTAGGTCCAAAAGCCGGGCTGTCCACCCTTAAGGAGGTAGCAGTGACGTCTCGCTGACCGCAGTCAACCCCCGACGACCCCCAGTCTTCCCCCCAAACAAGCGTGTGCGATGTGAGACTCTGCTCACCTCTGTCTGCAGAGACCAGAGAGAACGGCGTTTTTAAAAGTCTCCTTGTGTTCAGCTCTCAGTATTACTGTAGCTTCTAACTGAATCTCTGTGGTTTGGGGTTTAGTTTCTCTCCTGCGTCCTGTTTTTACTTTACATATCTGCTTTATTTTACTGTTTCATGTTCGCTACCCACCGTATTAGAAGTTGTGTGAAGCTGCTGCTCAAAAACTCAACATTTCCTTACTTTGCTGCTTCACAATAAAAGTTTTTACATAACAAAATAACGGGGGACTTTTATTGTGAAGAATGTATAGGAAATTAAATAAAGGCAAGTCTAATAATACAGCAGGGAGGAAGAGAAAAAACAGCAACAGTGAGATGTTGATGAACTGCAGACAACAGGCTCTTACTACATCTCTACAAACAGCTTTCCTCCAACATGTAAACTTCTTTTACCTGCTCTTTTACCTGCTGTCAGGAGAAAAACTACAAGTGGGATTGTCGCTACAGTGGATTGTGCTGCAGGATGCAGTTTAATCCTTTTTTGTTGAGTTTAAGTCAGATTTTACAAATACCATTTCCAGCACAAACCCTCTGGCATTAAATCAATTACTTTAAGGCATTATAAACATCATAAAATTAGGGTGAAAATACATATAACCAACCTGCTTCTTTTGTTTGTTATAAAACCTGGGAATTTGGGGTGAAAATCAGCAAAAGTGACTCTTAAAACTGTTTTTATCTGCTCTGTTTACAGCTCAGCCCGCAGGAGTGCCTGAAATCCTGAAAAAGTCACTTCACACTTGTTCAGTGGCCGGCGGAGAAGAGGTCTTTATCATTGGCAAGAACTTTCTTAAAGACACCAAAGTCATATTTCAGGAAAATGTTTCTGGTAAGAAATGATGATCTTTAGAATCTGATTGTCCGCAGACATTATGGTTTCATGCATTTCAACTCTTCTCCAGTAAACACGCTGCTGCATCTTTTGTCTCTTCCAGATGAGAAATCGTGGAAGGCAGAGGCTGAAATCGACATGGAGCTGTTTCACCAGGTAAAATGTGATTGCTCTCGTGTTCTTTTTGCACCGAATGATTAATGCCAATTACTAATCAGCTGAGTAGATAGAAGCAGCCATTTCAGATTTGTTTGGGGCTTTAGATGTAATCATCTTAAACGGCTGCTGGTTCAAAGGTTTGAGTAGTCTCATTGTGTTCTGACCTAATTACACCAGTCTCAGAGGCTATACTGAGTGTGTCTCAACAGTCCAGTTTAAACCTTTGCCCTTGTAAACAAAATCTGCAGCTAATAGAAGAGGCTCTTGTGTTGAACTCACTGGATGTCATTTTGTTTTTTGTCAAAGGTACGCTGTAGCACAGTTTTATTTGCATTCATTGTGTCTGACTGAAACGTGTGGTGTGTATCTACAAGGCCTGAATGCATTTCCTTACTAAAAAAAACATTACTTTTCTGAAACCACCACTGTTTAAGTTGGCTAGTGATCATCTTTTCTGCTCTTCTATGAGGCAGTGCTATATTTTTCAAAGCTTTACTGCCACCAGCTGTTGAAAGGTGGAATTAAAACTTGATTAATCTGAGGGAGGAAGCTGTTGCCTCTGCCATTTGGTAGATATGGCCACACAGAGTTGGGCCAATCACTGAGTAATAATGTCCCAGAGATATGAAATGTAGGAACTACATTATTAGCATAAATGATGAATATTTTAATGCTAGAGTGCAGGACATTTACATATAAATGAACATCCATTATATCCAAGCCCTTGACAAACGAGTTCACCCTGGCATCTGACGGTGAGGACTGGAGCTTCCAACCAGCCAAACTTCATCTGTGCGCCAAGTGTAAACTCCCAGTAATGATTCCTTCAGGGTTCATTGTTCAGGAGGATTTTATAAGGAGCCAAATTATCTGCAGAGGCCTCTCCAAAACAAACAGACCAAGTGATTTAAACTGGTAACAACCCTGAATAAAGCAGTTTCATGTTAAAAATCAGTGTTTTTCTGACGCTGTTTCACTCATCCCAAAGGGACTGATAAATATGGTGGCCGACGCAAAAATGCAAATGACCCTTTCTAGAGCCAGTTTCAGGTTTGTCCATTCTGGGCTACTGTAGATACATGGCGGCGGCAACATGATGGAGGAGGACCTGCTCCCTATGTAGATATAAGTGGCTCATTCTAAGGTAACAAAAACATAACAACTCCTATTTTCAGCTGATTATACACTAAAGAAAATATACTTATTCAATTTCTGCCAGTAGTTCCTGCTAAATCCTACACACAGGATTTAAGATGCAAATTTAATCCTGTAAATTTATAAGACAAATATTTATAACTGAAAGCAGCTGCATCACAGTGTGAATCCAGTCTGCTAATTTTTTTCTACCTCCAGTCCAGTGCACATTACTACCTCCTGCAGTCATAGAAATGTGCCCAATGCTCATGATGTGCCAGCAGGGCACAGAATACCAACAAAGTGCTTACCAAATATTGCTCTTCAGTGTCATTCGTGTTCAAAAACTCTACAGTGTACCTTTAATGCTGCATATTTATTCACTGTGTTCTAGTCAACTCACCCTTTGACTCCGATTAAATTAGACCTACTGCAGTTCTCACTCTGTTGGCTGACCTTTGTCTTGAACGATCACCCCTTTAGAATCACTTGATAGTGAAAGTTCCTCCATACCAGAACCAAGCCATCACCTCTCCAGTGTGTGTGGGAATCTACGTGGTGACGAATGCTGGGCGATCCCATGATATTCAGCCTTTTACCTACACTCCAGAGACAGGTTTGTTTACTAAATCAAAGTTTATTTTATCTGCCTCTTTTTACAATCAACTGATGGGGAGACAAACTTGTTAGTTAGCATGCAAAATTCTGATGACTAGGATTTTTACAAAGTAGTTTTAAGATGTCTGGCACCACAACTCTTCACTTAGTCTCATGGCTTGAAAACACCACCACCTACAGTTTAGTATCACAATAGCACAATACACAGCCCATTTCTAAACACAGGAATCAACATCCTGGACTTTATCATCATCATTCATCAGCACTTTTTGTAACTGTAATGACTTTAGTACAAAATTTGAGAAGATGTGAGCATCAAAGTAACTTAACTCTTTTTGTGCTTTATGTTTAGATTAATTTTCTTTTCTTTTAATTGTGTCAGCTCATAAAGATAAAAATCTGTTGATGTTTGCCCTTGCAGTGAAAAATGATGTTCCTGTGAAGAAAGAGGCACCTTCTCCAGTGAAGACATGTTCATTTGAGGAACAAATTAAAGGTTAGTTTCCCTTTCACTACTCTACATCATAGATATATATACGTAGATGCCGCATTCAACGGTGCTCCTCATTGGAGCGATACGTCAACACGGCCGCCATCTTGCCCAGGTGGAGCCGCGCTGCCTAATGCATGTATGTCTATTACTAACCCTATGACTCTACATAACCAGGACAGTAGCTTCCCATTTAAAAGCTGCTTAGTCACTAATATACTGTACACAGAGTCAAGTGCATTCTTTATTGCACTTTCTAACTTCCAGTGGACTGCCACAAACAAAATTAAACGTTAAGACTAAATGTATTCCTTGGTTTTGCTCCTACATTTCTAGATGGTGCCTTGATGCCTTCGATGCTGCCTTTAGTGAAGCGAGAAGACGTCACTCCGATGGAGGTCACCAGCAACCTTCAATCCTCTGGTGTTTTTAAGGTGATATATTGATCTGTAATTCCATTAAATGCCTCATTTATAACTTGTACACAGTAGCTGTTGTTACATGAACCATATTTCTTCTATCGAATTGAAATAATTTTGATTAAAGATTTCAACTAGACTGTTTACATGGACACAAAATAAATTGATCATTGGAATTCATTGGAATATATTTATTCCAACCAGGGAGAAACAATCAGATTAACAATACATGTCTTTTAGGCATTAATATTTAAAGGTTTGATCCTCCCCTCTGAACCTAACTGAAAAATCCCTCTGATAAGGGCAGTCTCTTCTGATTGGGGTGGTTACATGAAGCATTCTTATTCTGATTGGGCTATTATTCTGATTATTAGTGGAACATCAGCGTCCATGTAAACACATCCAGTGAAAACTGTTTAGATTGGATTGAAATAATTTGATGTTTCAAATCACATAAATGTTCAGTTAATAATAGCACCACAATTCAACTGACCACAAAATCTAAAAGCAAACTAAAGCACAGTTTTTCTCTTTTGTGTTTTCGTCAGACTGGTGACCTGTGTCCAGCCCAGCAGAACCCAGACATGACTGCAGGCCATCTAAATAAAAACAGACCATTCTCAAACAACCTCTCTCAGCCCGCAGGCGACCCTGACAAAGGCCAGACTGCTGTGTTTCCCAACGCAGAGCCCTTAAGCACTATCCAGAAGCAGGACATTGCAGCCACCAGCTCCTTCTCTGTGCCTGCTGACTCTCTGCTCCAGCAGGGATCACAGCAGTTCCTCCTCGAACCCAGAGAGGGCCTCGGGCAGGAGAGGCCTGGCAGCGGCTCTGGAGCTGTGGGGAGGCTGTGTGGGGAACCTGCGCCTCAACAGCAGCAACTGCCACTGTTTCCCCCAGATGAAGTAGCCCAGCTGGAGGAGGCAGTGAGGCAACTTAAAGCCAAAGGGTTCTGCAACTTACCGCTTCAGTCGGACAACTCAATGGCCAAACAGCAGCAGCAGCACATCCAGCACCAACAGCAGATCCAAAAACAGCAAATTCAGCAGCAGCAGCAGCAGCAGCAGCAGCAACAAATCCAGCAACAACAGCTTCAACAGCAGCAACAGCAGCACGTTTTGGAAAATTTACAGCAGCAGCTGTTTCAGTCACAGATTCAGATGCAGTGTGGCATGTTTCAGGATGCCCCTCAGGCCAAGAGCGCAGAGCAGCAGGGCTCATCACAAGGAGTGGTGCCAAACCAGGGGACTCTTTTCCAACAGGCCCAACAGCAGCAACAGCAGCAGCAACAGCAACAGCAGCAACAAGCAGCTCTCTTTCAACAGGCAAGTGATCTGCTCTCTATTCAGACCAACTTCCTCCAGCAGACACCCTCACACCCTTCACCACCCATGTTTCACAATCCCAGTCCTTTGGCTGAACCACAAGATCCACAGGGAGGGTTGTTTCAGAAAGCCTCTCAGGAGGTCCAGGCCGCTCTCTTCCAAAACTCCATGACAGTACTACAGTCTCCAGACCAGCGGCCGTCAACCCCTGGACTTTTCCTCCCTCAGACATCCCTGCCCTCTCAGCTCACAACCAGTAGTGCTCAACAACAGCAGCAACAACAACAACAGCAGCAGCAGCAGCTGGCCTTCCTCAGCGCTCTACAAACACCTGCCCCTGAACCGCAATCAGTATTTCAGGCTCAGACCCAGCTCTCCCCCATCCAGCAGAGAAACCCCATGGAGCAGCAGCAGCCCTCCCAGCCCCAGCCCCACACACAGCCTGCCCAGCAGGCATCCCTGTTTCAGAACATCTCCCCAAACACAATCTCACCAGGCCAGCAGCAGCAACAGCAGGCTGGCCTACTGTTCTGCAACAACCCCCTGTCCACTCCTGATCAGGCCTCCAGCCTCATGTTTAGCGGCCAGGGCCAGATGCCACCGCTGACAAGCAGCAGTCTAGTTTCCCAAGAGCCCCAAAATCCCTCTCTGCTCTTTTCCCAAGCCAGCATGGTGACAGTAAACCAGCAGGATCGCGCTGAGCCCATGGCCTTAGGGAACCCCACCGATCCACGTCAGCAAGTCATGTTTCAGGAGCAGCAGCCGATGCAGCTGGGCGGCAGCTCAAACAACCGGCAGGAGCAGCCTGTGGGCCTCTACATGCCTCAGTCTAACATGGCCTCTCTGCAGGGCGGGCTGGCCGCTCAGGAGCTTGCACAGTCAGCCATGTTTGCCTCGCAGAACGGTGTGGCAAACCTCCAGACAACCACCTCCTCGCCTGTTCAGCAGCCAGGGACTTTGTTTCAGACCGCTGTCAGTGGGAGCATCAGTCAGCCCAGCCAGCCTCAACAACCTGGCCTCTTCCTTTTTGGAATTCAGAACGGTAAGAAGCTCATTACACAGGTGCACACCCTTAAACCTGTTGAGGTGGTGTTACTGAATGGCAGCACATGCAGATGGCAAATATTATGCGAACCATTTACAGAATTGACTTGGCTTCTGTTAACTCCCTCAGCAAATAGACACAGTCTTTCCATAACACGTTCCTAGCACCACGTCAAGGATAGAGATGTCAAATGGGAGAGCAAATGGGGAACCAACCGAGTAACATGTTTTTTGTTTTTTTTTAAAGATATTTTTTGGGGCTTTTTAGCCTTTAATGTATAGGACAGACAAGCGTGAAAGGGGGAGAGAGAGAGGGAGTGACATGCAGCAAAGAAAAAGAAGAAATCCAAAACAACATTGATTGCCAAAACTCATTTACGTTTTTATTTTACCTTTTATTTAAAAGTTTACTAATGTAATTAACTGTTAACATTTTCCCCTCTTTTTTGTCCAATTAAATATATTATTACTAAACTGAGAAATAACCATTTCAAAGGCTATCTAGGTCTGGATAAGAATTCACTGTAATATTATTAGAAAAATACAAAATGATGTGTACATTACGATGAATTTATTAACAGTTATTGTTGTGCATACATAAACACATACTGTGTGTTGCAAAAATTCTAATTATGTGATCATAAATTCAGCCTTTGTCCTCAAGTTCACCTACAGTAGCTTCTGCTAATTCTCCTTTCTTTTCAATTCAGTGCACTTGAAATAATGTGTACATATGAAAAGCACAAAGAAAAGTGCAACATAGAACTTGCAACTTACACTGTAAGGCCCAATACTAATACACCTTTTGCCCCTATAACTTAGTCTTTATCTCTCCATTTTGGGCGCTCAGTTCTGGTGGTAGGGTGTCCCGAGTCTTGGGATAGAGGGGTAGGGCAAAGTGTGAGGGCTACATGGCCCTCTAAAAGGAGGTTTTTCATAGGCACACTGAAACTGTGTTATGAAAAATCTGCTGCACAAGCAACATAAAGATTAAAACACTACAATATTATTTCCTATTAATAACAAGCATAAAAAAACAGCTGGCAGTATGCTGGTGTCTTGCTAGCTAGATAACGTTACATTATTTTTTTTATTTGTTCATGGCTGTCCCACATTTTTACCTATTTCCACATCACATTCTCCACTTTGATGGCATATGACACCGGAAATTTTACTAGAGCCCAGCAGCGCTGTTGCTGCAGTTGTTACCTCTCCTCTAATATCACTGCAGACTGGCAGGACAGGAGCATGGGTTTCTAATGTTAGCCTCAGAGCACCGTTAGTGGCCTTGTAATTAAGCAGTGCTCTTTTTTTATTTGATGACTTGTTTAATCAATTGATAACATGAAACTAAAGTTGTAAACAAAATTGCGAGCATCCATGCTTTTCTGTCTCCATCAGATAAGTGGCACATTTCATAAAACCATGATTGCCATAGTTGCGTCTGTTTGATGACGATGACAATACCGATGACATGTGAGGGTCTTAAAGAGTTGTCCCATTTTTCAAGGGAAGGTTTCAACCACTATCCCCTCTAACTCTGTTCTGAAGGGCAAAGGGGCACTTAAAAATGAGGGGTAGGGGTAAAAATAAGGAATGGGATTGGGCCAAAGTGTGAGGTTTGTAAACTCATTTTTCACTTATTTTTTTCATCATCTTTTTCTCTTCCCTCTCCTACAGAATGTGGCCAGCTGATGAACACTCCTGGAAACACACTGTCGGATCAGATCATAGCCATCAGCCAGTCTGGTCAGAACCAAAGAGAGAGTGAAGCGCGCATCCAGTCCCTGCTCAGCCAGTCCCTGTCTCAGTCTGGGCCTGTGCAGAACAGCATGACTGCCTCTCAGAACATGGAGAAGATTGACGACCTGCTGGTCAGCCTGCAGGAGTCGGGCAGCAACTTAACTCGTTCATACTAACCTTCGTACAGATTCGTCTTTTATTTTGATACGTGGAATAATTGTAGAAATGTAGGCACAATACTGTCTGCTGATGAGCACATGCAGTCAAAGATGTGTGAATTAACTCTGCATCATGAAGTTTGAGACAAACTGAACAGTATGTTCTTACATCTGATCACCGAATATTTCTTTGCCCTCTTATGCCATGATTTGGTTTACGTCAGGACTGAGGACTGGCATGAATGATATTTGTTGTCTCATCATTAACTAGACAAATTAATATCCAGACAGTGAACTAGGAGTTCAGTTTGGGATTTCTTGTCTGAGTGTGCTGGCTGAAAAAAAGTCAATATCTGGTTTTGACTTTACGACTGACTGACTCCCAACGTAACAGACGGGCAGAATTAGATGAACTCCCAGCGAGAACAGACACATTGTCATTACTGTTCAGTGAGAAAAGCAGCATTCGGCACTTTTTTCTTCAACCTTTCCTCTGAAAGTTCAGTAACTTAGTGATGTTGTTGTTCATTTAACTTGTGAAGTGTTGTGTGTATCTGTAGATAGACTGTCAGTGATGTTATCTGCAGCGTCTTTTGGTTCTCGTGATGTTTCCTAAAGTGTTCTCCAAAGCGTTTAGTGGTTTCCATGAATAGTGTTCCCTTTAATTATTCTTTTGTATTGTTGTTTAGATGGAAGGTGGAGTGCGCGGGAGAGCAGGAAGGTTTAGACAGACCGTGGTACGTATGGTTGAATACATCCAAGATGTTGAAGGTAGCCGCTGTTGGTTTGAAATGATTTTCACCCAGCAGTGCAGAAAGTGTGTTGATAGAAGGTTTGAGGGGGGGGGGGGGGAGGTAGAGAAATGAAAGGTAGAGGAAAAGTAGAAAGGTTTCCTACACTAATCTGATGTGTAGTCTCATGCAAGTGTCTAATATGTGGGTACTGATTATTTCAATGTTGTAGCAGCTAGCTTGTACCTGATAATGTACATGTATTCACTCTAGCTGTCTTGATAGCCCGCAAATTGACTTAGGTTTTCATTAATGATATGACGTAGAAAGAAACAGTGCTCAGGAGGTGTATAACTAAAGTAATGTGGCATTTTGTTGCTGTCTACAAGTGGCCTGGCTGAATTAGATCTAGTCTTGTCAAGACCTGTTTGGTGCGGTAATATGGAGCTAGAACAGTGACAGTAAATTTTAGCATTGAAAAGAAAAAACATAAATTACGATAAACAAAGTAATTTCTCCTGCTGTTCACAATTTAAGAACTTTGTAGAACATTTTGGGAGAGATTAAAGGCGCATTCACACCAGGATAGTCCGGGGGACTCGGTTCCATTGGGCAGGGAATGCTGAAAAATGTCAGACCTTCATTTGGTTCGGTTCACTTTCATACTGGACTTTTTAAAGCGGACCAAACCACCTGGACAACGTCACGCAGTTACAGCAGCTGCTCGTTTGGGGGCAGTATTACCCGAAACGACCACTGACCAGGAAGAAGAAAAGCATGAGGAAGAAGATCTAGTGGCCAGGACCGAAAACCGAAATCCATCCCCTTCAGCTGGCTGGTCAGCTGCGATATATATTCCTCTGACCATATATCAGTAAGCGCCTGCACCTCCTCACTACTCCACGTCTGCCAACAAGACATTTTCCAACTTTTTCTTTTTTTTACCTCTGCTTCTCCTGGTTCGCGCTGTTGGCTTTGTTTTTTTTTCTATGTCACTTCCTCTCTTTGGTTCATTTCCTCTCTTTGGTTCGCTGGATAGTCCATTTGCATTTCCCACTGTAAGCGAACCGCACCAGAATTCACTTGCAAGTGAACCGAGACCCCCAGTTTTCAAGCGGACCAGGGTTTGCTCGTTTGGTCAGCACCAGAGTTTGAATGAGCGTTCACACCAATCCAAACGAACTGAACTATCCGTGGAAGTGGACCAGGGTTTGTTTAAAGCGGACCAAATAGCACCAGTGTGATTGCGTCCTTTTTCAGGGGAACTTTTTTTCAGTGCTAATGTTTCAGTTTTCCAAAGCTAAATTTTCGATGCCAAAACTTACTGTCACTTCTTTTGCCCGTACGCTAACACCTATAAAAGAATATTAGTAGTTCAGCCAACAGCTGTCGCCATGGCGGTGCAGTGAAGATGGTCACCTCTAGCTGTGAAACATATCACTCAGTATGAGATACTTTACCTTCTCCACCACAGTGTACAGGTAGCACTTTGAGATGTAGGAGAGCAAACATGCTCAGGCTAACATTTAGTCTGTATTCACCGAAACCAAACTGGGTCAGTTTTCGTCTTTGTAGAACAGATTCTCCCTTAAATACATGACGAAGAATCTTTTGAGAAAGTGTGGTGGTAGAAATGTGACAAATATTGGCTAAGACTTTTTTTTTTTTTTTTTTTTTTTTTTACATGTATACTCAGCACTTTATGATGCTGTTGTTCTTTGTGACCACTTTACTCATCGAGGGTACAGTACAGTCCCACGGGAGGTGGCGTGGGGTCAGGGGGAGGGTTCATCTGCCTCTTCCTCATTGTTTACAGTGAAGAAGATACATTTTGATTAACATGCTGTTACAACTATCAACTGTTCATTCCCAAGACCCAATACATTATTTATTCCTTTAAAAAACAGCTTAAAAAATCTGGACAAATGCGGATGGAGAAATTTTCAATCTCATTTCAGCTGACAGATAATAACTCTTATTCAAACAGCAGAGAGACTAGAATGTAATATAGTTTATTATTATTATTATTGTGTTTTAGTGTCATTTTGATGGCATCATTCTGCGTCAGGCACGCATGAACTGGAATAGTATTCTTAACCCAGCTAGAAAAGAGCCTTTTTTAACCAGTTTTATTAATGTGATGGATTCAGTGAATGTTGAGGAGAAGCACCTGTTTGTTGGCTACAACTGTAAATCATACATCATATCCAGGTTAAGGTATTAACGCACAGGAACAGAGCCCATTTTACATGTTTTCTTGTAAAAGCAGTCGTCTGCAGTTGGCCAGTGGCCTCAGGACCAAAGTTTGACTCAGATCTTGCTTTGCCTAAATCCTGATGACGGGTCAGTTTTATGGCTGTTGACCTTTTCTCTCCTTTTTCTTTCTATAATTTCATTATCAAGCAAGATGTCCTACTGCCACACTTTTCTTTCTGTTTGTTTGCTGTGTTAAAAAAAAAGAAAAACATGTTTGTGTCATGTTTAGTTTGACTGTAAGTGTATGCATGAACAAGGGGCTGGTCTCTGATGATGACAGAATTAGCTCAGATTTATGCCTCAGTCGTCGTCTTGTTTTCTATGTACAGTTTATTAGAAACACATAAACACCGTTACATTTTATACACTTTAAAGTCAGAAGCAGCCGTTGTTTTACGATGGAGATTATGTAAACTTGAGTAATGTGATCGGAGGAACTACGGCGTGTCAGTTTGAGCGGCTGTGAGTGGTTTTTAAAGGGACCCTACTCCTGAAGGAAATCTGACTTTGGAGAAAAGAGCTATCTGTGATTGGCTTTCTTCAACTTGTGAAATAGAAGAACTAAGATTTCCAGTGTTGAGTATTTATGATTGTTTTTGTTGTTGTTTTTGTTTGTTTTACAAAGTTTAGATCTTTTTTGTTTTTTTTTTAATCTGTGTAGTACCTGTGCTTCTTTTCGGAGAGGCATGTTTAATTTATTTGTGTGTTCTTTATTATCTAAATTGTTTCCCTTAATCATAGCCGTGTGTAGATATTTCAAGACTGTTCAAACTGTTTTGATGACAGCAATGTGATTTGTACAGAAGGGTGATGCATTCACTTGAGAAAAAAACCCAAACTGCTTTGTTTTTCTGAATTAACGAGGTCATCTCAATATTTTAGAAAAACAAGAATTTAAAGATTATTATCACAATAATTAAAAACAAAAGAGCAGATTTTTTTTAATTTTTTTTTTTTTGGAATTTTGAGATACTATTGTCATTAATTTAAAAAAAAAACAGAATTTACAAGATTATTATCACATTAATTGAGAACAGTGAAAGAGCAGATTTATTTCCATGTAATTTTTTTCTTGTAATTTTGAGATAATAATCTAATTTATTCAGGAAAAGAAAACAAGAATTTAAGGGATTATTGTTTCATCAATCCAGAAAAACAGAAGAGCAGATTTCTTTCCATTTAAACTGCTCTTATAATTCTGACATAATAATCTTGTTAATTTAGAAAAAACATGAATTTACAAGGTTATTATCTCATTAATTTAAGAAAAAAATCAGATTTTTTTCCCCATCTAATTTTTTCTCATTATTCTGAGATAATAATCTAATTAATTTAGAAAAACATTATCTCATAAATTCAGGGAAAAAAACAAAAGAGCAGATTTTTTCCATTTATTCATTCTGATATGAAACTTGGTTAATTAAAAAAACAAGAATTTATGAGATTATTATGTCATTATTTCTTTAAAAAAAAAATCAGATTTTTTTTCCCATGTAAATTTTTCCTCATTATTCTGGGATGATATCTCATTAATTTAGAAAAACAAGAATTTACAAGATTATTATCGCATTAATTCAGAAAAAAAATGAAAGAGCAGAGCAAAAAAACAAGAATTTATGAGATTATTGTCTTAAAAAAAAAACAAAAAAGAAAAAGATTTTTTCCTATTTCAGCTTTTTCTCATTATTCTGGGATAATAATCTTGCTAATTCAGAAAAACAGGGCAAATACTTTTTTTTTCTCAAGTGAATACATGTCACTCCCGTATATTTGGCCCCCCACACCTGCTGATACTATAAGTGGCACCTTGTGATGATGCCTTTAAACGAGATAAAGTAAAGTGCTCTGTACACTGTGTACATTCCTGTGCACACTTACTCTTTTTTGTTTTGATTTTGTAAAAATATACACCTTAATGTACATATCATGTGTGTGTTCAAGCCTTATAACTGGACCGCTGGCCCTGTAGACCAAATAGTTCAACACTTTTTATTGTCGATATCAGAAATCCTTCGAAACAGGACCAATAAATTTCAGTATTTTTGCTATGAATATAGAAATGAATGTGATTATACAGCGTGGCTGTGAACGTCTCACTGAGATCCAGAATGTTCTTTTTATGCACATGCTGGGGAGGTAATTACTTTTTGGAAATTACAGTTTCCTCATTTGTGTATTTACGATGTAACTGGAGCCTGGAGGTGTGTAAAAGTGTGACTCATGATGCGGTCACTACTAACTGTATGGAAAAGAGGGAGATTGTTGATAAAAGTTCTCATATTTCTCCAAGATGCTACAGTCTAAATCTCTCCATTTCCTGCAATAGAACAAGTGGTTTTCTTTTAACATTACCTGTACATTTAATACCAACAGATTCAATCTGCTATCAAAGGTGTTCAAACTGTTATTTCCCCCAAAATGTCACTTTAGACACCAGTAGATATTGACCATGTGCCTTGAGGAGATCTTATCGTAGCGACCAGATTGATGTTTTACCATTGTTGCCTGTTTGACACCGCACTGGTTCTGCCGGTGACGATTAGCCCTCATTAACTAGAATGTTTTAAGCCATAAGACTTTAAATGTACTTTAAATGCTCGACAACAGTGACCAGATGAACGTGGTTGTGGTTGATAAATGTGTTGTGCAATTTCTGTCATGCATCTAACTTGTTTGTACTGAAGTATCCATTGCATTTATGTTCTACGACGTAGATGCAGACAAATTTCCCTCAAACTGCTATGCAGCTAATATACTGTAAATGTAGATCTGTTAGTTTTTGAATATATATTTTTCTAAATAGTATCTCCCATTTTCAGCATAAAGGAGAAACCAAAGTAGATGTTCTTTCTATTATTTATGTTGCTTGTTGAAATATTTTCTTTGACGCTTTGAGTGCCGCCTGAAACTGATTATAAATCTTTTTAGTTGATTAAATGCAAATTTCTTTTCTAAACAACCATCTCAGCCTTGCTTGTAGGGTTTATGTGGATCCAGGCTTATTGTTTACTGGTGCAGTGGTTCCTAATCTTTCAGATTTCTCTCAGGGCCTCTGAGTTACCTGGATGTCATGACGTTCTCACATCAATTTTTCATGTAATGTGTCCCTGCTTTCTTGAGTCTGGTATCGTTATTCTTCTGTAACATCTTTAAAGTTTCACTTTACTCCCAACACAAGTGAACCACTCTTCTGGTAAACAGTCTATTTATGGTTCTAACCTTTTTGTTTCTAACCATGTGAACAACAATAATCACAATAATCACCCTTGGAAAAAAAAGACTTTCTTTGTATTTTGCTTTTGTTGGGATGTTTTTATTCTCTTGCAGTTAAATTTCTGTAAACTTGCTGCTATCTATATTAAACATATATACTTTAAATGCGAGGCCTTTGAGCTTTTATTTCATGTTTTTTGTGTGTGTGTGCGTGTGTAAGATACTGCAGAAGAATGCTTGGCTCTGGAATGAGGATCCACACGTTCAGAAAAATATGTTCTTTTAGCTTTAGTTTTAGTTTTAGTTGTGAGTGTGCCAAAGCATTTGGCCTGTGACTGATGGCTTATGTTCTGCTTATGTCTGATATATTTTTGCCCAGAAGTGCACGTCATATCTTCTACGAGCTAACTGTCATGACAAAATGTAGCCACTTCACTCCAGCTTGGGTAAAGCTCTTTATTTTATTTATTTAATGAAGACTCTGAAAGCAAACATTATTTAAACATGTGAAAGGCAGTTCAACAATCTTTTCTTGCCTTTAGAGCCACCAAAAGTCGTTCCTGTATTATGAGGTAACACAGGTAATAATAATAAATATTATAGCTGAACTATGAGATTTTGGGGTGTTGAGATGTGTTTCCACAGACTCAGGGTGTCTGCAGGGCCTTAAAGGTCATTAAATAGTCTTAAATTTGAATTTGTGAGGTCTCAATTGCCACAAGCATTTAATCTAATTTAATATATCCTTATTTTAAATTATTTTTGTCAAAATAAGTCGAGCTCTTCTGAGTAAGAGTCCACATTTCTGATGTCACAAATTTTTAAACCTGTCATTGAAGCTAATACTGTCCTTTTACTTCATACTTGCACTCACCTGTTGGAAAAAATGTAGATTAACTTAAACTACTCTACAGGACCACATATATGCTAACCGTTATACTTACCTTGAATGCTTAAAAATTAAAGAAAAGATTATTTACCCAAAAACACTCTTAAATGTGGTTAAAAATTATTTTAAAAAGGTCTTAAAAAGCATTTAACGTCATTGTTTGATACTTGTAGACACACTGAGAATGTGATATGCTCCACATATATAATGTTTTATTCCAATGATGAATGATTGCAAACATATTTCTTCATGAATATACAGTATAAAGCAAATAGAAAAAGCTTTTATCGATACACAGGATAATATGTTACCAGTCCTGGTGCAACACTGGGAAAGCAACTAAACCTGTGACTTATTAAAATTCAACTGATAAAAGTTATGCCAAGAGCTGCATGAGAGCATCACCTCTGCTCTACTATTATCTGTATATACAACTTACTGCAGGCTACTATATGCGTACTGTTTAACATGTGTTTTCAGCCATTTATTTCTTGTGCTAATCCAAATGGGTGGCATTACATTTTCATATGTGATTTTAAAGACCCATTTGTAGTTTAATACAGACTTTAGGTTGTAATGCTTAACCGTGTAATGCTGTAATAAGCTGTAATGATTCCATGTGAGTGTTAAGATTGATCTGTGTCATAAAGTAGTATGTCTGACATCACGCTCGAGATAAGAAACCCTACTGTTTGTTATGATGTTAAGTTGTGACTAACACATAAATTGGTTTAGAAATTGTCTTGTGCTAAACTAAATAAGGGGCATTACATTTTCAAGTGTGATTTTAGATTTAAAGTAAATTAAAAGCTTAAAATTAATCATATAAGTTTAGGTTATACAGTGTATTTGTATAAACATAGACATAAAAGAAGAGTGGTCTGTTTTAATCATGGTATAGTTAAGAAAGCCTACTGTTTATGTTTAGTTTAAAGTTGTCAGTTGTCATAAAACTTCCTAATAATGGCCAGAATATTTATTTAAATCATGGTCCTTGGGGACAAATACAATTCTCACTGACCATCTGACTCCTCCTGTAGTGTGACACCATCAGGACACATGTTCCCGCCTCCCTACGACTATATAAATATGACTTCAACAGCTGTAAGCTCTTTACTTCCCTTCTGTACGGGTCTCTGATTTCCTACAGTCAACCAAACGTACCATCACGTTTCTCGCGTTTTTGCCGCGCGTGCGCTTCAGTTGATCTTTCCGAGCGCAGCATCTACAACATGGCTGACGTGACAGCGGTGGACGGAGATAAACTCAGCAAAAAGTGAGCTCATTCTTCTCTTCCATCGCATTTTAATCACTCTCAACCCTTTACGCGGTTTTACTTTCCCCAAATATTCTGCTACCTCAGCAGTTACGACCGTTTTAATGTGGCCACGCACTGTCACTTAACGTTGCATCAGGTCAGAGGATGTTAGCGAAGTGAGGGCTCCATATGGAGACACACCATGGGCCTACACGTCCCAGGATTCAGCTCGTTTGTGTTCGTGGTAGTTGTAGTCCTTGATAGGAAGTGAAGCCTATCGTAGTGGTTGCATTTACTAATAAGAAAAACTACAGCATCCACAACAACACTCAAAGAACTGTCCTCCATACATTGGTCGTGAAATCGTGTGGTTTCTTTTTCTTGTGTCAGATATTGGGTTTTAACGTATGATATATTTTATTGTGACATTTTATTTTAGAAGAGGAGTTTGTTATTATGTATTTTAGGGGTTTAACGGCTTCGAAGAAGTTATTACGCTATTAGCGGTGTCCTTCCTTTTTTTTTAACTTTCGTTATCTGCTAGCGTTGTGTTACCTCTGACTCACTACTGGCTAACCAAAAGTAAAAGTAAAACTAATCTGATGCCAAATATATGAATTATTATATTTTCACAACAGTATGTAATAGTGTCTAGTGGGCCAAAGACAGCCTTTGCTGGATCTGCTGTAAGCTACACTGTCTTTGTATATATGTCTATTTTCTCAGGTCTGTCTGCTGACTGGTAGCTCAGAATGCTGTGTCTGGTCAGGGCAGCCAGGCAGCAGCTGTGCCAAGCCTTTGGGGTCAGGGGACAGTGGTTAAAATGTGCCCCCCCATGTACAGCTGCGGTCCCAGCTCAAATTTACGGGATCCGTTGGAGAGGTGACAAAAGGTTGGTGGCTTTTCCATTCCAATGAGAAAAACAACCAACCTTTTGTCATCAGAGAAAATGTGGACCCCTTTCCCTTTCTGCATGAGTGTTTGTCCGTTAGTAGTCGTTTGTGCCGTGGCCTTGTTTTTTAATTTAAACACCAGAATAGAGTAAAATGCACAGTGTGGTTGTGTGGGAAATCATATGTTTGTGTTTGAACATCCACGCAATTTCAGTCGTAGTTGCATCATTGATAGTAAACTTTAATATCTAACCTATGACTCATCTTTGATTGCTTCCTCCTCTCTTATCAGTGAGCTAAAGAGACGAATGAAAGCTGACAAGAAGGCGGCGGAGAAAGAAGCCAAGGTCCGGGAGCAGGTGGAGCAAAAGAAGGAAAGCAACGACCAAGGAGCGCAAAATGCCTGTGCATTGGACGAGGAGACGCTTGACCCAAATGTGAGATATTTTGTTATGAACATTATACCTCACTCTTTACTAATTATACCTTTAATGTTTTTGTATTCATACAATCATCTGTTTGACCTTTTAACGTAGCAATACTATAAGATCCGCACCCAGGCCATCCAGGACCTTAAGGGCACAGCGGAGGACCCGTACCCTCACAAGTACCATGTAGACTTGTCACTCACAGACTTCATTGAGAAATACAATCATCTTCAGCCTGGAGACCAGCTGACTGATGTTGTTCTCAACGTGTCAGGTACCAGGATAATTGTATGATTTAAAATGCATTTTCCATTTTGTATGTGCAGTGTAATTCAGCAGTAGATCTCCTGTTAAATGTGATATATGATGTACAGGTCGCGTCCATGCCAAGAGGGCCTCTGGCGCCAAGCTGATTTTCTATGACCTGCGAGGTGAAGGCGTCAAGTTGCAAGTCATGGCCAACTCAAGGTACAGAGTGATAGCCACGGTCAAAAACCATAATTCCTGCTGATATTTAGAGGCATCGTGACTGCAAACAGATGCATATTGTACAGTGGCATGGATTGGTTAAGGGCAATTTTACAAGTTCTAACAGTTAATCGAAATATCATCGAAATCGCAATTTGGTCAAGTGCAATATCCAAATCGCAGGAGCTGCAATATTTTGATACAGCTAAAATGTGTCACAACACACCATTATAATGAAGCATTGCTGTGCTGCAGAGATACCCTGGCCTACAAATCATGCTCCAGACGTAAGGGAACATGCTTCTTTGCTTCAGCAAAAACCTGATCGACCACATATCGTCACATTTTTGTATTGTGAAATGTTATTCAGTGTATCATTCCACCTCTAACTATGAGTTCTTGTCTGTGTGGATAATAAAGAGTACAGTGAGTTAATTTCTGTATGTCCTCTCTTGCTCTGTCAGGAACTACAAGTCTGAGGATGCCTTTGTGGCCATCAACAACAAACTGCGCCGTGGTGATATTATTGGTGTACGTGGTAACCCGGGGAAGACCAAGAAGGGGGAATTGAGCATCATTCCCATGGAAATGACCCTACTGTCACCATGTTTGCACATGTTGCCCCATCTCCACTTTGGCCTCAAAGATAAGGTAATGCCTACCGCTCTTTCTTAAAAAGAAACTAAATAACACGTCTCTGCAAATGCATCATTTAGAAAGTGAAAGTGAACTGCATGAAGTAGAAGCAACCGTTATTACACCGCATCCTATTATCTGCTTTTAAGGCGCGTATTTAGTTGTTGTTTTGTCACTGAATGCATGATGGGAGGTGGTGACTGTTGCTGCTACCAAAGGAGGGGTGATTGTAGTGACTTACATGTGCAGTGACATCACAAGTACATCCTATACTGTATATGCTGCCCCGCTTGCATGGTTTACTGGCACACCTAAAATGAAACGGAGCTATAATTAATGTTAAAGACAAGTGAAAGTTTCACTGTTGGAAAGTTTGATCTCACAATGAAGTATATGTCTGAAGGGGAGATTCCAGTTTGTCTGGTACAAAGGATTCTTCTTTCTCTTCTCACCAGCTTTTTGATAAGCAGAAGGGATTTTAAATTTAATTATCTTTAGATGAAGTGTTTTCTTTCTTATATCAGCCAGCCGTGGTTGCAATGTCACAAAGGTGGAAAAGCTTTTTAATCTTTAAGTGACGTTAATCTTACTGTGAATTTGCTCACAGTGGCCTGTGTTGATGGGAAGTAGACAAAGTGACGTGTTGTTACAACAGCAATGACCAATGTTGAAGCACTTTTTCTCACCACTGTGTAATCCTTATCTCAAAGGAAACACGATACCGTCAGCGCTACTTGGATCTGATCCTCAATGACTATGTGAGGCAAAAGTTCATCACTCGCTCCAAAATCATCACATACCTGCGCAGCTTCCTGGACCAGCTGGGATTTTTGGAGGTAAGAATTGGTGTCTGTACTGTAGAGACATCCAAGTTGACAATGTTACACAGCTAATCAATTGAACTGTGAATCTTAGTGTTTACACAAATAACACAAATTTATATTTGAATTAGTACAAAACAGGAAATTAATAATGCTCCAATAGTTTGGAAATTTGCACCATATTTGAGGCAGTTAGAAATAGCCAGTGTAAGCTAGCTCTTTTGATCATGTTTGTCATTACTTTAGATTGAGACACCAATGATGAACATTATTCCTGGTGGAGCTGTGGCCCGTCCATTTGTTACTTACCACAATGAGCTGGATATGAACCTGTACATGAGGATCGCCCCTGAGCTGTACCACAAGGTAATGTGCTTTTTTTTTGTGTCAATTTGAAATCAGCCATATGAATATTTTGTCAAATGTTTCAATATTAATGTGTACATCATATCTGTCTCACAGATGCTTGTGGTTGGTGGAATGGACAGAGTGTACGAGATCGGTCGTCAGTTCAGGAATGAAGGCATTGATCTTACTCACAATCCAGAGTTCACCACCTGTGAATTCTACATGGCGTATGCAGATTACCATGACTTGATGGATATCACAGAGAAACTACTCTCAGGTACATGAGAACACACAGTGGACATAGTGAGAAACAGTTAATAGAAAGCTGGCTAACCTACCTGTGTTTAAAAAAAAGACAAGCAATGATAAGCAAAAAACGTTTGGCTGCATTTTTAAGAAAGTTCCCTTTGCTCCAGGTGTCTTTTAAAATCCTGTTTGTCGTTTGCAACTGACAGTCCCACCCTGTGAAATGCCACGCCTAATTCCTTCATCATGCACAGGGTTAACCTTTATAACCACATGAAGGCAGTGTAGTGCGTGCCATGAGGGCAGCCTCCTTGACAGGTGGCATTCCTCCCCTTATTCTCAGCCTTGTTCTTGCATTGCAGAAACTCACATTTTACTGATATAAATCTAAACCTCAACCATGTGTGACATAAAAATTTTGATCGATAGAGCTTGTTGGGGCTGTACACAAGTCTCGGTGGAGTTAAGGTTTCACTTTTGTTTTCTTATTATGAAGTTGTCATGTCAGATACAACAAAAGCAGAACTATTTACACCCATGTAAGAGGCAACAGCAGACCTTTAGACCCCTAATTAGGAGAATATTTCACATCAGAAATCCTTAAAGTATCAAGCTGGTGATGAGCTGTTTGGCAGGTTTGTATAGAAACACTGATAACATGAAATGTGCTCACTAATTTCTGTAGCCCGTCTTACACAGAGATCCCACAATACTGCTGCAACAAAGACCCCTCCTTGCGTTTTTAAGAAGAATCAAACAACGCAGAGTGGACAGAGTGTGCGGTTCTAGATAGCTGGCATACTGGAAGCAAAACAGGCATGAGATATAAGGGGCCATACACATGCTGCGTTTTTTGCACCCTCAAATTCACTGTTTTCAGTTCAAACGTCAGAGTGACGCCAACGGCACGGACGCATTCCCAAGCACCCATTTTTGAGGGTGCAACGGCTACGCTCTGAGATAAACTGAGTTCAATTTTTGGAACGCAGCAGCGCACACAGCATGTCATGTGACAAGGAACAATCGATCACAGCTGACATATCTTTCCTTTCTTCCGTAAATATCAGTCTGTGGTAAATACCGAAAAGTTGATCATTTTGGTGCAGGGCTGTCAGAGCTTTACACCTGTCCCACAGACAATATGCCCACACACTTATAAACAGCGCCTGGAAGAAGATCAGCTCTGCACTCAGGATTTGAGGTAAATAGGCTATGATATGGTGCTTGTTAAGGACGCAACCTGCCACTGCGCTCTTGAAAGCTGGGACAAAAAGGCACAAAAGTAGCATCCAGTGCCCAACCTTGCGTTTTCCAGGCGGTTAAAGACGTGGCATGTGTACGGCCCCTAACACAACAGCAATTGTATCTAGTGTTACGTATAATATGTATGTCAGGCAGTGTTTTCTTAACAATAACAATGGCATTAGACGCCATTAACATTCGTTTACCATCCCTGTTATATGGCAGCTGATCTTACTTTCTGCTCAAAGGGGAAGTAGCTCCCAGACCTCATTGTCTCCGAAACTTGGGAACTGTTGAGGTTGCTGTTCTTCTTTTCTGAGTGAAGTGCCAGCTGCTGCTATCTACTTTTTAAATCTGTCGTTGATAGGTTGCAAAAATGTCACACTCGTCCCATCTTGGAGGCTCACAGACCCTGATTTGGTACTGTTTACCTCCACAGCCAGCTTATAGGCGAGACAACTCTGTCCCACCATTCTGTAATAGTATTTATACAGAATGGCGAGGCGGAATAATTGTAAAAGCAGCTGGTGTCACTGAGAATGGCACATTGTAACAGGAATTTATTGTATATTTTGATATAGAAATTAGCCAGAGCGCAGTTTCATCTTAATACCTTCTCAGTTGGTTCGCCTCTCAGACACTTGGGATGTACAGGAAAATGTCTCTCCTTAACTCAGTGGTTTCCTCTTTTGCTTCAGGAATGGTGAAGCACGTCACTGGAGGATACAAGGTGACTTATCACCCTGATGGTCCGGAGGGACAGGCCTACGAGATTGATTTCACACCGCCATTCAGAAGAGTGAGCATGACACATGACCTGGAGAAGATCTTGGGAGTGAAATTCCCTCCTACTGACAGCTATGACAGCGATGGTGAGAATCTGTGGCAATGTAGAGATAGACCTTTGTGAAAAGAAAGCTGCCTCTGAAATGTGCGAGTAGTTTTTGTACTTTTGTCTTTGAGGGGATGTTCTGAAGCCTTTTTTATCTCCATTTAGATAAACTGTGACATTCTCTTCATCTCACATTTTAATTCAGACTGTTTTGTTTTCATTGAATGTCTTTATTTATTTTTCTCCACATTTCTTTGTCACTCTTTTGTCTTCAGAGACACGTAAATTCTTTGACGACCTGTGTGCACAGAAAGGAGTTGAATGTCCTCCACCAAGAACCACTGCCCGCCTCCTTGACAAGGTGCTCCATCGATGAACATCAGCATCTGTTCTTTGTTTTTACTGTGAGGTCTTTACTAATCATGTTTCCCCCACAGTTGGTTGGAGATTTCCTTGAGGTCACCTGCATCAATCCCACGTTCATCTGTGACCACCCTCAAATCATGAGTCCTCTTGCAAAATGGTGAGAAACGCCTTGTTTTAACCTCTTGTTTATCCTTTAAAGAAGCAGTGCTCGAGTTCGTACTGACTCTCCCTTGATTGTTACAGGCACAGATCACAGAAAGGCCTAACTGAGCGCTTTGAGCTCTTTGTGATGAAGAAGGAAATCTGCAATGCTTACACTGAGTTGAACGATCCCATTAGACAGAGGGAGCTTTTTGAGCAGCAAGCCAAGGTGTGTATACAAGATATATTTCTTTGTCCTTCTACACTGGTACATAGTCCCATTACCTAAAGGCTAAGGCCCCTGGCTGTCACAGTGTGAGCGTATAAATTAGAGCATTTTAAAATTTGACTTTGATTTTTTTTTTCCAGGCCAAAGCTGAGGGTGATGATGAAGCCATGTTCATCGATGAGACCTTCTGCACAGCACTGGAATACGGACTGCCACCAACTGCCGGCTGGGGGATGGGTATCGATCGCGTCACCATGTTCCTCACTGACTCCAACAACATCAAGGTAAACCTGTTGTATGAATCAGGATGAAGGTATACTATGCAGGATTTTCCTAAGAAGACGTAACAAAAAAGAAAACGTGTATCAAGTCATTAAGTAGTAATCCCTCCCAGTCATCACTAGTGACCTACTAGAAGTGTGTGGCGGAGTATTTATTTGCACATATCCTGATCTATGTGTCTGGGCACAGTGTGCAAATGAGGTCGGGACATTATGAAAAGATAGTGACCATGTGCCAGACAGAAAGCAGCACACATTCATGAGGGAGCTACAAAAATTGTAGACGCAACTGATAGTAAATCTAGGGTTCATTTTCACTTTCACAGGCGATACTGCTAATAGTTACTGACAATTACTTCATAGTATACCTTTAAATCCTTGTACCTCAATGATAATATAGATTGTCTTCTAAATTGACCAATATGAGCATTAAGGGTTGCTTGTGAAGTCTGACCACTAGAAGCGCTATGGAGCTGTTTTTCTTTGATTTGGTTCCCCCTTCTGTTTCTCTTGCATCTGCACTTCCAATGACTTCACACTGTTACACTGAACAACAGGTGGTGGTAATTCACCAATATATGCAGCACTGCACCAGCAAAGGCAAGGTGGGAGAAGACTGTAAGCTAGAACACATGAAAGAAAACAATACACAATTAAAACAAAAATAATCTGCTCCAGTTCGGCTTGGAAATGTTTTATGTGGAAAGGTCAAGGTTAGCAAATACACTTACATGTTTGTTAAACCTCAAGGAGTCTCACAGTGTATGTACAGAATATTAGTGTATGAGGATAATACTTACAGGGTGGTTACATAATAATAATAATAATAATAATAATAATAATAAGGCCTTAAAAGTCATAAATAGTCTTAAATTTTGAGTTTGTGAGGTCGTAACTACTACAAACATTTTATGGCATTTCAATTATCCAAATTTGTGTTTGTGAAAATGAGTGAAGCCTTTCTCTGTCCACATTTCTAATGTTATAAATCTTAAAAAAAAACAAAACAATTATACTGTGATTTTACTTCATACTTGCACTTACCTGTTGGCAAAATGTAGATTCACTTAACTCACTCTAATAACCATATTCCTACGTAACACCTCTGCACAAGACCACATATATACTACTTACCTGCAGTGCTTACCTGCGATGCTTAAATAAGTAAAACATGATTTGGTTAAAAGATGTCTTGAACGTATATTAAAAAGGATTAAGTTTAATTTTCGGATACCCGTCCGATTTCAAACGAATTACATGAAGGGACACATTTGATTTTAAAATGCATTAGTTATTGACATTGCAGCCGAGCTTTCACCTCTGAACTGTCACATCTCCTTTCTGTCTAAGTGTTGCCTCTGTTTGTGTTATATCGCTGATGAAGGCCACTCACTTGAAGGCCTCATTAAATATTTACTATTCAGGATTTTCCTAAAAAAACAGTGTATAGACTCATAAAAGTAATCCCTCTTATTCATCACCTATGACCCATTATAAGTGTGTGGTGGTGACTCTGCCCTCTGCATGTGTTTTGTTTTCTTTTTCCTTGACGTTTAAGGGCGTGTACACCCCACAGTGCTCAGGTGAGGTCGAGGCTTTATAAAGAGGTAGTGACTAGAGTTTGGTTGAGTTCTGGCTTTGCTGGTGCAGTCTGGTGTGCAAGCTTAAACCAGTTTCTTTTTATGTAAACCAGCTGAACCGGCATTTGCCATTATGACATGTTCTGGCAAAGTAGCTTACATTCGCAACCTGTACTGACAGTGTCACAGCCCTGAATCCAACTTGTATTGCATCAGAAATAAGCAATATGACAATGTGATTAACCGAATATAATGTTTATAAATGGACTAATGGAGTCTTGAATTAATTAATTACAAAACCGTAATTGTAAAAGGATCTATTCAGAGTGAAGAATTACAGTAAAACAAGAATTAAATCAAACAGGCTTGTTGCTGATGAGGTATGTGTGACCACATTGCACCTTCCATGAACGCATTGTCCTCTTGAGAGGATTTTAAGCTTTGCTAAGACTGAATACAACAGAACACAAGATTAAAGAGACACAGAGAACAGTGGGTTAAAGAGATAACTTCATCAAGAAATCAAATTTCTGGCACTGTCTGCACACAAACATGAGCTGCTAACGTGTCAGGCTAAAAAACCCCTCAGCTGACAGTTTTGTTCTTTCACAGGAGGTGCTGCTCTTCCCAGCCATGAAGCCTGACGACAACAAGACAGTGGCGCCCACAGAGGGCACCTCTGTCTAATGACATGACCTCTGACCTCTCCTGCTATCAGATCCGAGCAGGAGTCGGTATGGAGTCGGAGCCTTTACCTCACTGTGGTCATCAGTGGAGCCTGCAGGTTTTCTGTTTTATCAATGTTTGTCTGTCAAAGGTTTGATCTGTCTTTAAGGGAAATCATCTTCTCAGTTACATGGTTGACTGGTAAACAGTGCTTCTTTTTGTTTTCTTTTGTATTTCTTACACTTATGCGATCATATTTGCTGCATCCTCCTCGTTCGATTGTAAGGACACATTTTAATCCTCATTGACATCCAGACAGTAAATGGGTGGTATGATCAGGAAGTCGTGTGTGATCTGCTGTTGTACTTGGATAATAATATTTTTGAGTATACATTGAGATACTTGAATGGGGGCTTGATTCTGGCTACCAAATACAGAGTAGATGCACCACATAACGAAGCTCAAGCACCTCTAATGTTGTAAATGTTCTCAGTATATTCATCTGTTTTTACCAGGTCTGCTTGTATTCCTTGTCTAAAAAATTTTCAAACTAGACTCCACAAATCAATGTTCCTCTGCCAAGAAGTTTAAAACCATGGGTATGTCTGAATAAAGCGCATATGAGTCAACACTGCTTGCTCTCTTGTGATGATTGTGGTCTGTTTACAGAACAAAATTCAACGAGTTTCAAGAGTGTGAGAGTTCACAGAATATAATCATCGCTGTATGGGAACTTTGAGGGTCACTGATTTAAATCATTCTGATAGTAATAATGATAATGGTTCTGTAAATAAGACAAACTATTTTAATTGTTCAATACATGAATTCAACATTGTGTGCGGTACTTTATTACTGGGAAGGAAATTCTCTTTGATTCCGCCACTGTCTGAAAAGGACATTTCTTTTATTTTGGTACTATAAAGGTCCAGTGTGAAGGATTTAGGCTGATACTTTGGCAGAAATTAAATACAAAAAGTATGTTTTCTTTAGTGTGTGATCATCTGAAAATAAGAATTGGCCTGTTTTCATTACCATAGACTGAGGCGTTTCTATCTACAATAGTCCACTGGGTTTCTGCAGTAGCCCAGAGTGGACAAGGAAATTTGCATTTTAGAGTCTTGCTACCATAGCTGGCAGCCTCCTCACGATGAGTCGAACAGAGCTGAAAAAAATTATTTGTAACGTGAAACTGCTTTCTTCAGTGTTGTTATTGGTTTTAATCACTAGGTCCATTTGTTTTGGAGAGGAGGAGACCTTTGTGGGTAATTTGGCTCCCGGTAAAAACCTCTTAAACAATGAACACTGAAGGAATCCTAACCGGGAGTTCAGACTTGACACATGGGAGAAATTTTAGCTGGTTGGAATCTACAATCTTCACGGCCACATGCCACTAAATCCTGCTCAACGGTCCTTTAAGAGCATTTTGTGCTTTTACTAAAGTAAAATTTTGAAAGCAGAACTAACTTGTAATAGACTTGTTATTATAGTTTGTGAAGATTAACGAGGGGAAAAAGAACATAAGTGTAATGCATTTATGAAAAAGAAAGCCATGTTTTTCTCAGTTATAGAAATGATAAGTTTTTATGGCCCAAAAAAACTGCATGGTTTTTCTGAATTAGGAGGGTTCTTAAACTAAAAACATTTTATTTATTTATTTAATTTTTATTTTATTTTTGTCATACTCACTTGACTCAAAGAAACATACAGAACTTAAATGAGAGATCAGTCATTTTTATTTTATTTTCAATTTAATTTTATTTCTTTATACACATTTTTTTAATATTTTTTAAATTGGCATTTTATGTGTGGTTACATTTCATTTGTCCTTGAGACAGATTTTGGACTCATTTTCACAGCAGTCATTTCCATCACTTTGTATAGTGTGATGGAAAAGACATATGGTAATGGGAATTACAATGCCAGTGTTAAATTACTGAAAAATAAAATACATATGTAGGTTTCTTAAAACATGTGTTACAGTTTTCTAAAAATTCCCAAATCAAAATGGACCACAGCTGCACATTAATGACATTATTATCTCAGAAATTTAGGGGGAAAACTTTGGAAAAAAATCTGTAAATCTACGAGATAATGTCATTAATTCAGGAAAAAATAGGAGCAGATTTTCTCCATGAAAACTTTTCTCAAAATTCTAAGATTATAATTTTGTCTAGTCAGAAAAACAGCAGATTGTTTTCCACATGTAAATAAATGTAGCTTCCGTAAACAAACCAACCTGCCCTCATGTCTGTATAAAAGTTTATATGTTCGCTCCACACCGTTTTGAACCCGAGCTGAACTAACCCTCCTCCCACCATCCCGGCGGGAACGCGCAAACAGTGGGATGGTGCGCGCTCCCGCGGTCAAGTGTAAGCGCACCCGACAAGTGTGGACACATACACACACACCACACACACACATACACACACACACACTGAGTGAAGATGGCGATGAGAGCAGCGCTGCGGTGCCTCTCTGCAAACTTTTCTCCCAGACTGCCTCAACTCTCGTCGGCGGCGCAGCTTCCAGCGACCCGGCTGCTGTGGAGGAGCGACTCAGCGCGGACACTGAGGACCAGCTCGGCCCTGTCCACAGGTACAAGAAAAAAAAATCAGTAACATATCTCTCCGTAATGTTACATACTAACATGCGGGCTGGTTAGTGGTCACACATTCCTGTCTGTCTGTAATGGGCGAAACAACTCACGCAGTTTGTGTCACTTTCCCACAGGCAGAGGAATGCGACAGAGCGGAGAGGGCAGCTCAAAGTTTGGGTTGCACAAGTCCAAAAACTTTATCAGCCTCTTGTTAGATCAGCTAAAGGCTTTGCTGTTTCATTGAGAGACAGTCAGACCACGAGCTCCAAATTGGGATGTTAACGTATGACCATATAAAACAAATTAACTGTCTCGTGCACTGAGTAGCAACCTATTAAACAGGAGTCACCCTTAAGCCTGGGTTTAAGCCACAGATAGCTGTGGAGGTTGTATTGTGTGTGTGCATGTGGTCTGAAATTTCAACATGTTCTCCCAGTTATTGCTTTCATTCATTATTCCTGCACCCTGTGAAATGGTAACACTTTATTTAAAGGTTGCTTTATATTTTAATACATAATTTCCCCAGCCGTTCACAGCAGGATAATCCAGCTCCCAGGAATGACTCTGCTCTTTCCGGTCGTGCATCAGCATCTTGCACAGTTCACAATCTGGTTCAAACCTGTATTTTTCTGCATGGTCTGATGCCAACAGTGGGAATTGTTGAGGCATTGTGATTCCTCCCTCAGGGCATTGTAAAGATGACTGCATGAGCTTGGCATCAACGGGCTCTAACTGTAAATCCAGTATTTTAAATGCAGATCTGACCCAACCAGATACTGCACCTTTTTTCTATTGAAACGCTGATGCTCAGGATCCAAAACTGCACCTGCAGAACGCTCAGGACAAGTTATCTTTGTAGTTTCTTTAATCATAAATGATTAACTAAATATGGTGCATAAGAAACAGCATACTTGTCGGCTTTGTCCATCCAAATGAAGTGCTTCGACAGTGTTCTCTCTAAGAGCTGTCACATTCAAGCTTCATGTTGCTGACTCATACTAATTAATTCATCTGTTCCAAGCTAAATGATTCCCTTGTTCTCTCTGCAGCCCTAAAGTTCACAGATAAGCACGAGTGGGTGCGAGTGGAAGATGGAGTTGGCACAGTGGGTATCAGCAATTATGCTCAGGTAGGTTGTTGGGCCTTCTTACTAATCTTTGATTTATGACACTCCTTGTTCAGAGGTTTACCGACGGCCATCTAGGAATCGTGAGATGTTAATGTCTGCAGTTCAGTGCTGCCCTTTGTCCTCACCTGCAGTAACTGTACTATAACAGGCTAATTTACTGTTTTATGACTATTGTTTGAGACAATTGATTACCGCCAAACTGCTGTGGTGTGCAGAAAATCTCAAGGGCAGGCCTCCTTACAGTGGTGGTCAAAGCTATGAATGAAAGCAGGTGTCTTTTGTTTTTGACGTGAACGCAGCTTTTAGTAAAACGATCACTCTTACTAAACTTGGAGGCGCTGTTCCACTTCTGCTGCTGATCACCGTGTCACATTGAAAGTTCAAATGATTTAATCTCTGCTGATGAACAGACCAAAGTAGTTCAATGTGATGCAAGATAATGTCGCATCTACAGAGGAAATGATTTGCATTGTCAAACTTGTCTAGCTTGTTTCAAGACTCAGTCACTGCCCACATGCCCAACATCAGGCTGGAAGTTTTCACACACGTTCACCTTGCAGTGTTTTACTACCTGTGTTTATATTCATTAACCCTCATATCACCGCTGCATTTGGAAAGAAATGCCCATAAACTGTGGATATGATTATTTCTGAGCAAAGTGTGGACTTTATCGATCTGCACCTATACTGTACTTGGGAATGTGAACTTTGAGCAGGACTCTGACCCTGTGTTGTACCCACAGCATCTTGAAAAGGTGAAACCCAGCCTGTAGCCTAATAGAACAAATGAGTAAACTATAAAGGAAGGCTGAATGACTATAACTAAACACTAATAGGCTTTTATAGGTGTCAGGTGACTAATAGTTTTCTCAGACTTTTATAAAATTCAAAGTCAGTGCTCCTGCAGTTCTCTAAAACTCTCTGAATATCCAGTGTGTAGGATTTAGGTGATGCTATCAGCAGAAATGCTATATAATAATAATAACAATAACAATGTTTTTATAAGTAAACAATCACCTAAATATAAAAATCATTGTGTTTTCATTTCCTTAGAATGAGCCATTTATATCTACATACAGAGTGGGTCATCTTTAATGGATTCGCCATGTTTCTTTTTTAAATTTTACTAATTTTCTTGTTTTTTATTTTCTATTTTTACTAATTTCTTGCTACTTTTTTTGGCTCATTTCTTCTTCCGTTGCTTATTGCCTTCTGTCCATGTTTTTAAAAGAAATCAAGCCAATTTGCTCAGGTTTCAAGGGGTTAAATGATAGATCAGTCATTATTATTTTTTTTTTTTTTATTATTATTTTTTATATAGAAATTGGCCTTTTATGTGTGGTTTTTGCTACATGTCATTTGTTTGGCAAATGGCAAAACCGGTGTTATATTAGTGAAAATATAACACCTGTAGGTTTCTTTAAATGTATGTCAGGTTTTCTAAAAAATCCCAAACCAAAAATGGACCACAGCAAAAGATTATTATCTCAGAAATCTAAAAGAAAAACTGTTTTTTTTTTGTGAATTTACGAGAGGATAATAATCTCATTAATTCAGAAAAATAAGAGCAGATTTTTTTTCATGAAAACTTGTCTCAAAATTCTGAGATAAAAACATTAATCCATTCAGAAAAACAGAATTTTCTCACAAGTAAATAAATGTCGCTTCCGTAAACAAACCAACCTGCCCTCATGTTAGTATAAATGGGATTCGCCATGTTTCTACAGTAATCAAACATTGGTTCTAGACAGAGCTATTCATGTATCCCTCTTGTCACATTGCCCACCGTATGCTACACACTTGACACTCGGGAGAAGTTTCAGTTCTGCAACCTTACAGCTAGACTTAAAGTTTGTTGAGTCTAAAACAACAGTTCCAGGGTCTCAAAATAGTTTCCTTATCTTAGACTG